GTACCCATGTATGTCCTGAGTCATGCTCAGTAATCCAGGTAGAAAAATCCAACAAAGTTAAGTCCGGTCCTCTGGACGGTTTCTTTTTGTTGAAGAACCAGAGTCCTATTCCATTATTCCTAGCTGCGATATTCAGGCGACCGGGCCTGCTTTGAACACTCAAATTTTCTCAAAGTAAACGCTTCGGTCCCCGGCGGGACACTCAGCCAAGAGCATCGAGGGGCAGGGACCAAGATAGATAGTGACTCGCCTTGCAGCGAACCGCCGGCTCGATCTTGAAATCTAAGTATAGTGTTTCCCCTAGATTACTTACCTTGACAGGATGCTCATCTCTTCCATGACTTTTGTTGGGGGCGGGGGGGACAGAGAAACATCAGTGTTGCGCGCTGTTTTTGCCGACAACTTTCAAGCATGGTGGTGGGGGTGGAGGTGGAGGCTGCTCAGCTTGAGTGAAACACAGTTTTTAGCAAGCACGTATGTATTGCGTGCTACTAGCTCAGAGCTACATCAGTGCCTGCAGTTGAGGTGGGGTTCGTCTCGGTTCAGTAGGCAGGGTGCTCGGTTCTGTTGACAGGGCGGGGCGCCCTCTTGTGTAATGGTAGGGGAGATGCTGAACTACGAGCTTTTTAAGTGCAGTAACTTTAAGATACGCTGTTGGAGATGGACTTACCGCGGCTGCTGGCACCAGACTTGCCCTCCAGTGGATCCTTGCTAAAGGATTTTAAATGTACTCATTCAATTTACAGGACCTTGAAAGAGTCCTGGACCTCCCCAAGTCAGGAGTGGGTAATTTGAAACTTGGAAAAAATTTGTGTTCAAAGCAGGCCCGGTCGCCTGAATACGGCAGCTAGGAATAATGGAATAGGACTTTGGTTCTTCAACAAAAAGAAACCATCCAGAGGACCTGACTTAACTTTGTTTGATATAATTATATGTTTTTGTTTTTGGTCCACATTTTAAATGATCACTACCCAAACACTGAATTTACCATTTCCAAATATGAGTTGATACAGTAGCTCTCTAAAAACAAATAGAACAAAGGGAATGTTAGCTTATGCTTAATAACTATCATTTTTACAGAGCTCACAATTTTACACTTTATTGTAAAAGTATTATTTTATTAAACTTTATTTAAACATGCAAATCCCATTGAGATCACAAATTTTTTTTTTGCAAGGGAGACCTGGACCTGAAGGCAGCCTAATGGCAGGTCAAGAATCACATCTTAAGATAGAAATAGTATCAAATGAAAACTATTTAATTTTAACAATTCATTTAAGGAAATGAGTCAGTTTGTCCTCTAGTAATCTAAGCCTATGGCAGGATAAAAAGCCAACCCTAACTATAGGATTTATCCAAAAGGAAAGTCTTAAGCCCAGTCTGAAAACTGGACAATGTGTCAGCCTTACGGACCCACCACTGCACCCTGTATTCACTGGTTAACTGGTCATCATTAACTTCATGCAGACTCTCTCACTGGTACATTTTCATCTTTAAATCACTTCTTAGTTTGCTGCCTTCATACATCTCCTCCTACATGTCACTGTTTGAGTGCAGCTACAGCGTGCGCTCTCAGGACATTATTACCTGTAGTGTTCCCTCAGTGAGGACTGAACTAGACAAAAGTACCTTCTCCTACGCCGCTCCTGTTTTCTGGAATATCTTGCAAAAAGACGTGAAGCTCTCGACCTTGACCTCTCTAAGGGATTTTAAACATCTGCTAAGTTCATGGTAAATACTGTATCAACGCAGACATGCTCCTGTTTTTAGTATTTTACACTGTTTTTAATGTAGCTGTTTTTATTTC